AAGGCCACCCCCATGCCATGACACTCCTCACCCTCCATGCCGTGGAAGAAAAGGCTCTGACTTTATTCTGCTTTCTTTGGTTTTTTTCAAGAGACTTAAAAAAGCAAGAGTCCTATAGGAAAGAAGAGGTGCCTAGGGCCTGAGTTGGCTAAGCTGGTTCTACACGGAGCCAAATCAGTTTTTCAATCCACCACCCCTACTTTAGTCTAAACCTCTCCAGTGCTTTTCCTTCTCAAAAGGAAACCCATTCTGTCTAAAGAGGGGCGGGCTTGTGTGCCCACCTCCTGGGATGCAAAGAGTCTTTTAAAGAGTGACTGGATGTTAAAAAAATTTTTTTTGTTGTTTGATGTGTTTAGAAACCTCCCTCAAACCTCAAACTGAGATAAACATTTGTATAGTTGTGATTCCTTTTGTAGTCAAATATTACATTGCTTTGGAGTTTTTTTTAAAAAACATGTTCTCAAAAATAATGGCAACGCTCCCTCTGGCTGAAGAATCAGGACACCTGCAAAACGGGTAGTTTGTTGCTGTTGGTTTTGTTTTATTGTTTTGTTTTTTTAGTTATCCACAGTCCTGCCTCCCAAATAAATGCTACTAAGGAAGAATAATTTTAGTTTGGGAGTAAGACATTAATGCTCCATTTGCCTGGGTGATTGCACCTCTCTGATATGGAAAGGCCACCAGGGAGGTGACAGTTCTAGGGATTTCAAGTTTGCACTGAGAATGTAGTCAGGCTTCTCGTGTCTCATAGACACAGGCACAGTTTGCCATAAAAAAGGCCAGGGATGTCTTCTAGGCTTTTTAATTTACAGTCTTTCCAACTTCACTGTTACTTTTTCTGGCTTGTTAAATGGAATACTCAGAATCAGAACTGTCATTTAAATTAAGAGACTAAGTAAAACAGAGGTTACAGATCAAAAGTATTAAAGGAACAATACAAGCATGTGTACAATTTATTTAATGCAGTTACAGAAACAATCCTGCACTACTGATATAAATACACATATATGTTAGCTTAATAGAACCTGAAAAAAAAACAAAAGAGAAAATTGGGTTCAAATGAAACAATAAAAAGTGGTATTAAAACTGAGACCAAATTAGGCACCTGTGCTAAAACAATGATTTTTCAATAGTTCCTGTAAAATCAATTAATTTGTTTAATGTATTAAAAAAATCTCCAGCAACCAAGGGAGATATTTTACAGGCATTTGAATGGTGATATTTTAGCGAGTCTTGACTATTGGATTCGTGAGAAGTCAGGCTTTTAAAAGAGATGTTTTTGAGAAATGTACACTTTCATATTAATTATACGTAAGCTAAGAAATTTCTCAAGCATTTTTAAAGGCACATAAAGGAAAACAACATAGTGAGGTAACAAGAACGAAAGAAGAGGAAATACGTCTGTTCCAGTGTCATACCTGGAGAATTCACCGCGAGCGAGAGAAAAACACGGCAATCAACATTTTAGACATAACCACGTAAATACCAGCGATCGGCTAAACGCTCGTTGCTGGGGAACATTTCCGAAAATGTTTTTAGAATGGAAAAACACTTCTAACAGGTACGAACAATAGCTTTAAAAATTAGAGAAAACAGTATTTGGGTTTAAAAGTTAATAGTGTATCGCTTTAACAGATCATTTGGGCAGTTTTTCTTTGTTTAACCGCATTACCTGTTATTCTGCGCGCCCGAGAAACCTAGCGAAATAGTGTTGTGTTCTATGTGTGATCGGTTCTGTGAAAAGGGGGCATTAACTCAACAATGAGACGAGAAGGAAAGAAAGAAACAAAACAAAACCAACACAAAAACTATTGAGACAAAACCTTCAGGCCCGGAATTAAAAGATTTGAATTGAGGGTAAGATGGCGTAGTTACACTTTTTTTTTTTTTTTTAACCTCTCAGACCCCTTAATGTTTGCCCCGCGTGTTCGCTGAGGGAGAGAGCTCTGAAGCTCCAATAAGAGTTATTGGGAAATACAGTTTCCTCACCGGGATAAACTCGGGTCGCGATTTGAGGTTGGCTTTTTTTGGAGCCAGCGCAGGTGTCAAATGCCAGCCCTCGGTGGCCACACTGTCCTCCCTGCCGGCTCCTTCCTCAACAATGACTTTGCTGTCCCACCCAGAGCAGAGAAGCCCTGGGCTGCAGCCGCACGGGCCAGGAGCCTCGGTTCCAGCTTCCTAGGTGGTGGCGGGTTCTCCTAAGTGCCAGGGACGCACCAGCCTCCGGGCCGGCAGCCGGGGACCGCAGGACTCTGCAGTTTGTAACCGTCCTCTCTGGCGTCCAAGCGCACCACCGAGTGACCCTCCTCCCCCGCACACCTTTCTTTTCTTTCTGACTTACGGGGGGAACAAGGAGGATGGGGGCGGGGGGAGGATAGAGAATGCCTGGTACCCTGAAGTCGGCTATGCAGTGACCTGGGAGCCGCTAACAATTTCTTGAAAAATTACTTTAATAAAGTCGGAAGCTCCAGGAGGCCCAGGGGAGGGAAGGCGGCACCAGCTTGTGAAAGGGACAAAAACCTCCCGGTGTGTCCTGGGTCCTCACCCCAGTTAGAGTCTGGGCTCCCCTCCGTCTGCCCCCTACCAGCTTGAGGGAGGGAAGAAGGCCCAGGTCCTAAGACCTCCGACCTGCACGGGCCTTGCGGGTATCGGCTTCCCGGAGTGGCCCAGGGACCTGGGGGCGCGCCCCGCGGTGAAGTGCGTGTGCCGTGCTAGCGCCCCGCGAGCACCCCCTCCTGCGTTTTGATTTTCTTCCTTTTCTAAGCCGAGTTTACAACTTCACCAATGAATAACCCGCCTCTCTTTTCAACCTAATCACGGTCTTTGTGTACTTTCTGTTGATGATTTATAGGAATAAATTAATAACACCCCAACTCCACGTGCTGCAGTTTATGTTACATCTCCGCTGTGTCCAGCACAGCGTGGGGACCACAGTACAGAGGCTCACTAGGCCTCTCCTGCTTCCCTAGGTCGGCTCCGAGGCAAACTAGACAACGGCTCTGGGCCGCCAGGAGGCCAGGAGGAAGGGCCTAGGCCCCAGGGGGGGCAAGTGACGGGATGCTGGTTAGGTGAGCCAGGCCCTGTACAACCTCCCTGCCACCCTACCGCCCCAGACGCTCGGGGGTACCCTCTACACCGGATACCATCCAGGCCCCTAAATCCGACCGGAGAGAAATCACCGCCATATGTTTCCCAAGCTTGTGAATTAGAGCAAAAAACATTTTAGTGGATTAAAAAACAAAACAAAACTACAAGATTGCCTTGGCTAGAGGGCAAGTGGTCAGGTACCCAAAGCGCAAATTCAAATGCAAGGTCACCACTCCAACCTGCTCTGCGGGAGACGGAGCCTAGCAGCTAATGATCGCATTCACTCGGGACTCTCTCTGAAACTTCGAAGCTGAGGGGTTTAAGAGTCAGGGGCCACGAGAGTGGCTCCCAAACAACGTGTGGCCTAAGGGACTCACTTGGCTCCTTAGATAATTAGTAACTAGCTGTCAAAGTGTAGGCCAGGGCGAGAGGACCGGCAAGTGATCCCAGCCACCGGAGAGACAGCAGCCAGTCCCCGGATCCCCCACAGGATAGCCGGGGTGCTATACGTACACACCCACCTTTCTCAGATTGGGACAAGGTTCTCTACAAAGTGGGGCAGGGGTGTCCTAGGACCACGTATCCCACACATTCGCTCCCTTCCTTTCATTATTCGTGGTTTCTTTTGGCCGGCAAGGGTCCATCGTGACCCTACAGCAAACTTTCCGCTTTACAATTCTAAAGCTGCAGCTCGCACTGGCGCTGCAGAAGCAAGGACTCAAAGAACTTGCCTCCCGAGGCCTCAGCCGCCAATGCTGCCAGACCGTCTCTGCAGAGAGCTTTAAGTCTCTGGGACAAATGTGTGGCTCGAAGTTTTGGAAGTGCGTGGGGGTGCAAATCTGAGGTCCTAGGAGAATCACAGCTGTCTCTAGTCCTGTGAGGCTTAAGGTTCGGTTCTCGCGCCTGGGTACCACCAACAAGGTGCTTGAGTCCCGGGCGCCCACCTAGGTGGAGGCAGATGAAGCCTCTCTCGGATTGCAGGTCAGCCGGTTGAGGAACTAGTTCAATTGTTCTCAGAGAAGCGAAGCACCCCCCGGGGGATTTTTTTTCCCCCATGGGAAAGGGGCTTGCGGGAGAACAGTCTGCACCACGCGCCTCCGCCTCCAGTGAGGGGCAGGGGACTTACTCCATGGACCCACAGGGTTAGGGGTGGTCCGGGCGTACCCAGCACCTCGCTTGCTGCCTACCTGAGCATCCGGTCCACCTCGGCCCGCTGCTCCGCGGCCTCTTCGGTGTTGAGTGCCTGCAGTTCCTTGAGGATGGGAGGAGTGTCATAGTCGTCTCCGTCCTCCGAGCCCTCGTCCCCAGACAAGCGGCCCTTGGCGTGGCCATTGGTGAGAGTATGGAATACCGGTTTGGTGTCGAGATCCGTCCCGCTCCCGGGGGACAGAGGCAGCGTCTCCAGTTTCACCCCGAAGTTCGGGGACGGCAGTAACTCCTCTAAGGCCTGGACCAGTACTTCCTTGGTGACCCCAGAGCTCAGCAACGCGCTCAAGAGTTCTTGTTGGAGCGACGTGAGCTTGGACACCATTTTCCAAGGACGGAAAAAGAAGGGGGTGAGGGGATGGGTGGGTGTGAGAGAGGAGGGTGGAGGGGAGTTTTACAAGAGAACTCTAAGTCCTGGAACCCCTCCACCCTTTAGCCTCCAGACACCTGTTACTTCCCAGGGTCCCGGAGTCTCCTCCGAGAGGAGTCAGAAAACTTCTAACTTGCCATGATCGCCACCATTAGGCCATATAAGATATGCAAATGAGTGGGAAGGGCTCGGCTTTCGGCAAGATGCAAATGGTGGTGGGGAGGGGGAAAAACCGAGAGAGTGGGAGAGCCTAAGGGACAGTCCAACGGAGCCAGAGACTCGGGCCGGGATCGGGACTTGCCAGGGCCCATTGTACTCACCCTTGGGGGGGCTCCAAATCTTTTCTACCGGTTCTGTTTATCAGCCAAACTTTAGCTGACCTTTGGACTTGTTAAGCAAGTGGCTTGCAGCCTAGGCTGGGTGGGGGTGAGGGGCTGCTTTTCCACAGGCGGCGGGTTCATCTTTAGTGGAGAAAGAAGAAACCGCGCTTCGGGGGTTCAGGTGAGAGAGCTGGAGAAAGTTGGGGTGCCTTGGAAGACGGGAGTGGGGGGAGGATGAAGAGGGCAGAGAGTCTCCAAGGTGACCACAGTAGTAAACCTGGGAATGCAGCGGGGTGATGGTGGAGAGCCAGATCCTTTGGGAATGGGCACCAGGAAGAAGAGAGTGGTTCCAGGCACCGGTAGAACGAATTGGACGGGCCTCACTTACTTTTACCTCGTTTACTGCCCTCCAGGCCCTCCTCAGCCAGGCCTGGTTTGGATTTGAAGGACCGCCGGCCCAGATCGCGTAGTTAGGGTGCTAGAGGCCTTTAGGACCCTTGAAAGGAGGCGCCCACCGACTAGTTTATGGCCGCAGGGAGTAGCGAAAGCGGAGCTGCGCTGCCGCCGCAGGGCTGCACTAGCCCGGCCTCGCTAGGGGAGAGCAACAACACCTGGGGCGCGCTCTCTGACCTAAACCCGGAACATAAATGCGCCTAGGCTTTCCAGGCAAAACTAGGACTGCGGGGACCCGGATGAATGCTTAGCTTGGCCTATGGCTGGACCGACTGTTGCAGCTGTGGGTTACCCAGGCCCTCTTTTTCTGGTTTCTTAGTTGTAGGACGTCGGCGATTCCGGTGCCGGGAGTTAGAGACCTGTTCTAGTAAACACAAGTTCACTGAGGCGGTGGTCTTGGATACCACCTATAGTAAGCACCTCAAAGCCATTGAAGAAATTTTTCCCCCACCCAGGTCTGGCCCGGAAGGAAACCTTGAGCCTTTCGGTGCTGCAGGAGTTTCTGCCACAGCTCCCCTGGGACCCGGAGAGGAAGAAAGGAGGCGCAGGCCGCACCCGGACCTCCAGGCTGGGACCTGACCTGAGGGGTAGAGACTGCTTCAATCCATACACAGTAATAGCTCTCCGGGGCGGAAGCCACTTTGAACCTTGGTTTCTTCCTTTGTGAAATACATTCCTAATAACCAGGAAGCAGGGAAGGTGTAGACACTGAGGAAGACCACCTGTGCAAAACTGGCTAACACTTGTGTTCACACTTTCCAGTCCGTGAAGGTGGGAGGCCAGTTCCCAGTGGTAAAATCTAGCCCTTTAGAAGCTTGGGGTTCTCAGAATCAGGGACACTGAGGTTGGAAGAACTGGGCAAAGAAGGACAAAAGTTCAGAACTCTCGGGAGAGCAAAGGAACTTCTAAGCACATCCTCTTAACTGCCTGCACTTTCAAAAGCGGTGGATTAGGAGGAAATTGCGGTTGGGTCAGAGGTAGAGATGAATTTTCACAAGAGAGAAGAGAGTGGCCCGCAGCCTTCCTCTGCTAGGCGTAGGGTCAGACCTCCCGGTGAGTCACTCTGCACGGGTGAAGATTCTGTGAAAGGCGGAGCAGTGACTGGTACCTGGATCACCTGTGCTTGGAGTCTGGGAGAAGGAAGGGGTGCGTGCGGGTGTGTTACACCTATCCCTGTTTATCTGAAAAAGGGGTTGTAAGTTCACAGAAGGGAGGGGGAGCTTCATTTCACCTTCTTGCTTTCTAGTTTGTTGTGACATATGACAGATCCTTGCCTCTTGTGATCCTGCCCAGTAGGAGAATTCTCTGCCTCCCAGTGCCGGCCACTCAGGCAGGATGATGAAGTGTTCGAAGAACCTTGTTTTCCCCGCCTCTTACTCAATATAAGTAATATAATAAAGTATAAGGAGCAGCAGATTCTGTCATATACCAGGGGAACCCATTAAAAAGCCACCATCACTGTCCACTCACCCGCACAGCTTTGATTTGTAGTTCTAACTAGTGTGTGCCACCAGCCACCCCAAACCTCCCTCTCGCTCTCAAAACTCAGGTGTTAGCACATTCTCCCCCAACACACACACACACACACACACACACACACACACACACACACACCCCACACACCAGCCACTCATGTGAATATGCAGGAAGCTACACCAAGAATTCAGGGAACAGTTCCAGTGTGTATGTGTGTATTTATATGTGTGTGTGCACGCGCAGGTAGGTCTTCCAGGTAAACTGGCTATTCATAGCCTGAGATTGTCCTGCCCAGACTTACAGTTTATTTACTGTAATTGCAATTACAGATGTGTGAGCAGATTTTATGCCCATGAACCTGTATAGATTTTTTTTATGTGAAGAAGTGTTTTGCTTGCATGTATGTTAGTATGTGCACCATGATGTCCTTGGAGGTCAGAAGAGAATGTTGGATTTCCTGGAACTGGAGTTACAGACAGTTGTGAACTGGCATGTGGGTGCTGGGAATTGAACCTGGGTCCTCTGGAAGAGCAACAAGTGCCCTTAAGCACTGAGCCATCTCTCTAGCCCTGCCATGGAAATTTAAAAAGGAAAATACAAACAGAGCAGCATGACTAAATGAGCCATCTCATGAAATCTTTCCTCTACGGCAAAACTTCTCTCTAAAGCCGGGTAGCCGGGTGGGCAGTGATGGAGCATGTCTTTAATCCCAGCACTCAGAAAGCAGAGGCAGGTGGATCTTTGTGAGTTCAAGGCCAGCTTGGTCTACAAGTTCTAGTTCCAGGACTGGCTCCAAAGCTACAGAGAAATCCTGTCTCGAAAAATCAAAACCAAAAAAAAAAAAAAAAAAAAACCAACAACAAAAACCCAAAAAACCAAAACCAAAAAAAAAAAAAAAAAAAAAAAACCTTCTCCCTAAGAGAGGGTGGGCTTTATAGGATGAAAGAGAAGTCTCTCTAGTCTTCATTGCTTTCAGAGAAGAGAAGGTGAGGGGAGCGGGGGTCCTACGGGAGGGAAATAGGAGACCACACCACAGGGATGGAGGACAGTCTTTGAAGTCACAGACTGAGTACATCCGTGGAGTGAATGAGCAAGTGGGCATCTCGGATGGTATCCTGAAGAGTGATTCTGGTGACTTGCCAAACTCTCCTGGCCATCAGCAATAAAATTAATAACACTCTTAGGCACAAACAGATAGATGCTATGTGGTCCATTTGTATTCTGTTAACTAGGAAAGAAAACCCAGAGTGGTACAGGTTACTGGTGTAGTAGGAAGGTTCTATGTTGGTTTTTTTAAATGCTTGCTTATTTACTTCTATTAGATAACTAATTTTTATTGTTTTGTATTTAAAATTAACTTATTTGTTATTTTATGTCTAGGAGTGTTTTTCTTGCACGTATGTCTGCATACCATGTGTGTGCCTGGTGACCATGGAGGCCAGAACAAGGGCATCAATCCCCTGGTACTGGAGTTACAGATGGATGTGAGCTGTCATGCGGGTGCTAGGATTAGAACAGGGAACCTGTGTCCTCTGGAAGAGCAGCCAGTGTTCTTAACCACTGAGCCATCTCTCCGTGTTTTTGTTATTTTTTTATTTTTAATGTGTATGCGTGTGCCTGAATGTCTGTGCACCATTTACATGCAGTGTCTAGGGATGCCAGAAGAGGGCATCTGATACCAGACCCAGAACTGGAGTTAACAAGTGGTTGTGAGTCCCCACGTGGGTGCTGGAACTGAATCCAGGTCCTCTGCAAGAGCAGCAGGTACTCTTAAATACTGAACCATCTCTCCAGTCTCCAATTTAAAAAAAAATATTTATTTTTGCCTGGTGGTGGCGCACGCCTTTAATCCCAGCAGTCGGGAGGCAGAGGCATGAGGATCTCTGTGAGTTCAAGGCCAGCCTGATCTACAAGAGCTAGTTTCTAGGACAGGCTCCAAAGCTACAAAGAAACCCTGTTGCGAAAACAAAACAAAACAAAACAAACATTTATTTTATTTTATGTGTAAAAGCATTTTAATTGGTACCTATAGAGCCAGAAGTGGGCAGCAGATCTCCTCGAACAGTAGTTACAAATAGTTGTGAGCCACCATATGGCTGTGCAGAATCAAGTCGGGTCTCCTGCAAGAGCAACAAGTGCTTTTAAATGCTGCAGCATCTCTTGAGCCTCGGAAGAGTCTACAGCTTTGTTTTTTGGCCTGGAACTCGCTAAGTAGGCCAGGCTGGCCTTGAACATCTAGGGATCCTTCTGCCTCTGTTTCCCTTATGCGGGGATTAAAAGCGGTCCTATGTTTTGATGGACTCAGTATGCATCTGTAGGAGCTGTGCATATTTCTCTGTGTATTTATGCATATCCCTGTACGTAAGTTACAACTTAATTAGAAAAATAAAATCTATTCCAAAGTTGTGTATGGGGGCACTTGGGAAGTAGAAGCTGGAGCATCGGGAGTTCAAGGCCAGTTTGGGAGAGTTCAGGGCTTGCCTGAGCTGTAGGAAACCCTGTCTCAAACGACAGCATGGAAACAACTCCAATGTATCAAATGTAAGCAATGATGGTCATTAACTTACCCACCAATTGTTTACAGTTGGTATATGGTCTTCTAGAATCTCTCTCTCTCTCTCTCTCTCTCTCTCTCTTTCTCTCTCTCTCTTCCTCTTTTGTTTTTTGAGTCAGGGTTTTTCTGTGTAGCCCTGGTTGTCCTGGAACTCACTTTGTAGACAGGTTGGCCTCAAGTTCAGAGATCTGCCTCTCTCTGCCTCCTGAGTACCAGGCTTCGAATGTTTTCTATTTACCACATATATAACTCATTATCATTAAAATCGATAGGCTGGCAAGATGGGGCAACACATGCCTCAGCAGACTAAGCAGGAGTTTCACATCAGTCTAGACTACACAAGACCTTGTCTTAAAAATCAGAACCAGGGCTGGAGAGATGGCTCAGTGGTTAAGAGCACAGCCTGCTCTTCCAAAGGTCCTGAGTTCAATTCCCAGCAACCACATGGTGGCTCACAACCGTCTGGAATGAGGTCTGGTACCCTCTTCTGGCCTGCAGGCAGAATATTGTATACATAATAAGTAAATAAATATTAAAAAAAATCAAAACCAAAGCCAGGCAGTGGTGGTGCACGTCTTTAATTTCAGCACTTGGGAGGCAGAGGCAAGGGGATCTCTGTGACTTTGAGGCCAGCCTGGTTTACAAAGTAAGTTCCAGGACAGCCAGGACAGTTACACAAAGAAACCCTGTCTGGAAAAACTAAAAACAAAACAAAACAAAACAAAAATCAGAACCAAGCCAAGCAAAACCCTAGATGTTAGTATGTGCTAACAGTCAACACTCTTTTTCCATAAAGAAATAGATAGTAAATATTTTAGGCTCTGTGGGTCCTCAAGTCTCTGTGACAACTACTCGATTAAAAATGAAGACCTATGGCTGTCCCATGAAAACTTTATTAAAAAAGAAACTGGCTGACAGTATATGTGCTCCATGGGTCACACTTCATCAATCCCTGGGCAAATCACTTCTGCAGGCAAAAACCTGTAAATACATAGTTACCTTAGAAGTGGTCTTATGTCCTTTGTTCCCTCCTGAGAAAAGAAGTAAAGAAATAAGCAGAAGGTTTTTTTTGGGAGGAGAAATGACTTTCCCCGAAAGATAAAAGCCAGGACATTAGGAGGACCCAGACTTGGAGTCAAGTGTGGAGCAGCTGCTTTCTGGGAATGCCTAGTTTGACCTTGGACAACTTCCTCTGTTTCTTCTAGTTTTTACACTCACCGGTGAGCTCGTGTAAACGGTGGTGACAGTGATGCTTCTGCCTCGTTAGGTTGTTGGAAGAGTTAAAGGACTTAGCTCAGAAAAAATATCTTAAATGTATCAGCACAAGCAGGACCCAAATCAAGTGCTTGTTCAGTCATTACACATGGCTGATGAGTCCCTCCCTCCCTCCCTCCCTCCCTCTCTCCCTTTCTCCTTCCTAACTATTCAGCCTACAGGTAAACTGGCTACCACTGTGTGACGTATTCACTATATGAAGCTCTCTGAAGGAATCACCAAATCCCAAGTCCTCACCTTTCTGGACGTCACTTCCAGCTCCAAGCCCTTCTTCCCCAAGCCTGCTGCTATGAGATCTCTTAACTAGGGAAACTCCTAAGGGCAGATAGTTCTTGTCTTTTGATTCAACAACCCACATCCTCTGCTGGGACATTTTTAGAAATAGGGTGTTTCCAGCAGCTTGTAAAAGATTAAGTTAAAAACTGGCAGCCTAGTGTGATATTAAACTAATAAATACTACATCTAGTTTTGAAAACCTTCATTGCTTCCTTCCTCTGCAGCACCTGGGAGAGGTGAGACTGGTGAGGGGCACAGAGCACAGTGGATGGGCCTCGGGTGTTTATGGAATATATTGCGGGCTCCACATACAGTAGGCATGGAATCGTTGTTTATGAGGAAATGATATGAGCTAGACCAAAGTGTACAGGAAAAAAAAAGCCATTTCTTCTATTGACATTTCTTGGAATCTGCCCTCAGATTAAATTAAAACAAGTTAAGAGAGCTTGCTTGGAGGTTTTAGCAGGCAAATGTCCCTACTCGTCTACCCTTGATCCACAACTTATTCCCTGGTAGGGGAAGTCTGGACGCAGGAAGCACATTGATGAGGGAGGAAGGGACAGCTGCCTAGCCAGCCAGATCAGCCACTTAAGTCTGGCAATCAGCGGGGGACAGATGTCACAGGCAGATGGCCTTCAGACACCAAGTGGGATGTGATTTCCATATATTTTCATTTGCAAGTTTTTAATATTAAAGTTTATAAAAATACATATAAGCTGGGGGCTGGAGAGATGGCTCAACGGTTAAGAGCTCTGGCTGCTCTTGCAGAGGACCTGGGTTCAATTCCCAGCAACCACATGGCAGCTCACAACTCCAGTTCCAGGGGCCTGACA